TTATTATTATTATTATTATTATTATTATTATTATTATTATTATTATCGGCCTTTTCTATACTTTATTCAATTTGATTTTGGCAAGTCATCACATTTCGGGTATCAAGTGGTGCATCTCTTTTACGAGTCTTTGTGGAATTGCACTGTGAATTGAAATGTTTGCCGGTGCATCGAAGGCTTTTTTAGTATAAAACTTTTCCGGGAATAAAATGTATAATGTATAGCTTGATCCTCGTAGCCCGTACGCGTGTAAGGATGTATGTATTTGTTAAAGAAAATCTTTATTCAAATAAGCGGCGTGCAGCTGCGTATCAATCAACACAAATGCTCGTCTCAACCAAAAATTGAATGGCTGAATTGCCGGTATAGTTGAACATTAAATTTTTATTCTATATATTTCTTAAGCACTTATAAATTTTATTTCACCTATCGTTTCCACGATTTTTACTATGCGCCTATCGCTACTTCAGCTAACGCAAATTTAATTGTAATAAATAGAAATAACATCTCAAGATTCTTTTGGCATAATGTAGAAAATTATTTCATTGCATTACTTTTTTATATTACAATTAATTACAAATGTTTACGAAACATATTGATGAAAATTATTATTGCAACAGACTAATGCATATGAAAAGACGATATAAGAATCCTATAGCTTTAATAAAGAGGAAATAAAAAAAAAAAATAAGTCTAAATGTCTACGTAATAATGATTTTTTTTTTTTTTTTTTTTTTTTTTTTTTTTTTTTTTAAATGGCATCTTTCAACTTTGTCGATTAATCCAATTTTGTAAAGCAATTGATGTTTTTCCCGTCTTATCGTAATACGCTCATTCTACTGAAAATGCAGAGAGCCAAATCCAAGTAGATGATTGCTTGACTATAGAAGCAACATTCATAATTCAACATACGTAGAAAATATAGAAAATATCACACCCCGAGCAAAGGGGATGCAAGGCTCGTACACGAAATGCGAGATGATTTTTAATTTCTGCATATAATCAAACTCAAACTTTAGTGTTTCATGAAAAAAAAAAAAAAAAAAACAAAAAAAAGTTTTTTACTCGCCTACCGAGCACCTTGATAAATAACAATTTATCGAGCTATTATGCAAATGAGCAGCTATTTTCTAATTTACAATACTCTCGACATTATTATTACAAAAAAAATTTTATCAAAATTTTATAATTATTACATTGTTAATTTCAGACGTATTTGTAATCGCAAGGAACAACAAAGCGATAAATTACAATGCGCCTTTTTCACTCAAATACAATGCATATGGCAATGGTAAAAATTTTTCCAAAATTCTTTGTCTTAATAAATCATAATTTTACGAATGATTATAACAAAGACGGACTTTTTAAATATAATTTATGAATTAAAAGTCTTAATAAGGAAAAAGTTTATCTTACTTGAGAAATCGCTTTATGGATGAAATCCAATATTTTGAGAACTTTTCGTCTTTATAATTTGAAAACTTTTATATCTTCCCTGCATACATATGTCTATATAACTCTAGGTAAGATGTTAGATTAATTTATTACGTGAATTACATTATGAAAGATATTCTTTTATTTTATTAAATTATATTGATTAACCACTACTCATGATACTATAAAGTTTGCCAGACGTTCTATTTAATTCAATGGACGCATGCTTTACATACTAAATATATGCATATATATATATATATATATATATATAAACGTGTTTGTGTGCGTTTGTATATCAGCATATATTGAAAATAGTTATTAAAGTATCAAAATTACAAATATGAAACTTTGAGTTTCACATTATAGTTATTCCACTGAGGTCAATATATTTTTATGATTAGTAAAGTTATAAATCATTTGCATTTTAATAAAGTTTAATATCGTAATATTCATTTTATAAATGTTATATTATAATGCATTTTTAAATATAAATTTATATCCAGCGACTAGAATGTAAAATTGATATTGTTTAATTACAATTGATGTACTAATGCAATCTTTCAAATATAATTCAACAATTTTTACTTAAATAAATCTGATATTTAATAAGTAATAAAAATGTTCTATTTTAGTGCGAAAGTTATGTACATGTTGGGCAGAAATAAAATAAAAATGATCTTACTAACGGTCAAAGTAATTGTCATTCTCAATTTTTAGATTAAATACCTAATCGAGCGTATGAAATAAGGAAAGTATTTATTATATTTTTGAAATTAAAATAAACGTCCATGAAATAGATAAACTTTCATTTTCATTATATAGATTTCACTACGTGCAATATCAAAATACTAAAATTAAAATTCATTACGATGAAAGGAAATAAATTTGGAAAATACAAAAATTATCATCATATTTGCTATGCGATAAGAAGAAATAGTCAAGAGAATGACAAAGACATTGCAAAAAACATTGCAAAACGAAAGAGGTAGTCAAATTTAGAAAAGGGAGTTCTGAAGTTATAAGTAGCTCTTGTAATCTGTTGTTTACGCTACAAAATCGTATAAATGAGTTCCCAGAGTAGATTTGAAAAATACTTAAGGATGAGCTCCTGTGCATCTTAAAATCATAGATCATTGTTTACATACGGCATGATCAAGGTCCGACGTCATTTCCGCGTTGATCGACAACTATGTCGACACGAGGATTAAACACGTGAGGCGAAAAAACGCGTAATAACGAGAGAGAGAGAGAGAGAGAGAGAGAGAGAGAGAGTGAGAGTAAGCGAGAGAGTTAGAAAGACAGATAGTGGAGACAAAGAAAGAGAGAGAATACCCACGAAAGCAAACAAGGTGGCGCGCGCGCAAAAATGAGAGTAGGGGGAAGAACGACTCCAACTGCCCCTCTCCCGCCACTCTGTAGCTTCCTCTCGCTTTGCCTCGCGGAGTGAGATACTGCAGAGAGAGAGAGAGAGAGAGAGAGAGAGAGAGA